CCATGTTTCTGATCACAATTCTTTCCTTCTCCTTTTTTTCTTTTTACCCCAAATCAAATAATCAAATGTGAGTAAAAATTTACAGAACCAATCAATATGTCATCTTAACTATGTTAGATTCAACAAGAAAAAGGAAACAATAATATAAAAATCAAAGACACGGATATACCCAATCTAGAGCCTAAGCTCTAATACCAAATGATATAAAACCCTAGAAAATTGCAGATAAAAACCCTTCCACCTAACGAGGACCCCTAACTGTAAATTTTGAAAACCCCAGATCAAATAGCACAATCCCAAAGAAAGATTAGACGAGGATTACCTTGATGATCGAAGACAAAGAGGTAAGGAGAACTGGTTTCCTACTCAAGGTTGAACACTCCACAAAAAGGTTGATCAAACCTAACTTAAATGTTCCGGGATTACAACCTAGATCAAGAATTGCAAAGTTGATGAACCCTTAGTCATCACGCTAAAACACTCCAAATTCATTTTGTATCCATTGATCGTGTTGTTCACAAGATTAAATCTCTAATCTCAAAGGAAGCTAAAAGACTATACTACCCCAATTAAAGTGACATAGTTAATTAAAAAAATACCTAAAATTAATAAATTCAATGCCACATCATTGGCTAAAAAATATAAAGGCCTAAAATAAGATAAATAACAATTTTAAAATAATTAACTTTGTTAATACAAAGTTTCTTCATCTTCTTCTCGTATATTCGCATTTGGCACCATCAATAAAAAATTTTTTCTTATTTTTATCCTCTTGATGCCCATTAGTGGAGCTCACTACTGTTTGGATGTGAGAATCAAATGCTAATTGTAACTGTTTGGCCCTTTAACGACTGATTGGTCTTGGCGGCAAGGCTAAAGCATCTTGGTTCATATCACTCTTAGTATCTATAAATGCATATGGTAATTGATTTGCTATATTTTGCAAATGAATTATCTTTTGAACTTTAAGTTTACATCAATCTGTAAGAGGATCTAAATGAGACAATAACGATGCATTCCATATAATTTCTTTTTCCAACTTCTTAATTTCTCCATTTAATGTTGGTAATAAATAATTAAAATTAGTTTTTAATAACAATTAATATATATAATTAATTCATCTTAATAATTAATTAATATTAATCTAATTAATAATTATATATATATTAATTAAATAAATAATTAATACTTAATTATTTATTACCAAAATAGAATCATATTCTAAAGTATTTCTCTCGTATAACCTATAGTTGTAATGTATATCTTATGCACATTATTTTTAACCTATAGTTTTAATATGAATCGTATCCATGTTCATTTTTATTTAAATTTCTCTCATAATATATAGTTTTAATTTAGAATTAACCATATATTATAATGTATCAATATACATATATATAATCTCGTGAGCAATTTGAACATTTCAAATTCTTTCAAGAAACTTGATCCTCGTTTTACCCGTTCTGAGCTAGCCTCATGGATCTACAGATCAGAAGCTCCAACGATATGAGATTAATCGGTCAAACTCATTAACCGAGTTAATCAACATTCGTTAACTGTGGGTCACTCTACTAAAGTCCCACAACTGCACTCTTCTCACTGCATAATATTTTCGTGTCCACGGATGTACAACCATTAACGACAAGTCAATCATTCACAAGTGCTCATAACTCTAGCTGTCAAATTAACATTTTACCCATGAGTTACATCTTGCTACTTAAATACCACTGCTCCTCTAATGAACAACCTGGTTATAGTCCGACCAATAACCGGAAGTCCCTCTTGGGCCAGTGAGAGGGTGGGGCCTCTTGTTCAAGTCTTGGAGTCAACACTTAAGAGAACACTCATCTACTCCCCTAAAGTCGGGAAGGAGTGAATTTCATCTTGTGTAGTTATGTTCCCAGCTTCCCACTCGATCTCGTCCCCAAAATGGTAGGAAAATTGAATCGGCGTATCGGGCCACTCTCACCCATACAGATCAAAGGATGAGACGTCATAGGCAGGAGTCTATAACTCACTCAGGATTGAGAACGAGTTGTCTGATCATCCTATAAAATAGCAAACTATTCATCAACGACTTTACATCTAAAGATTGGCTATCTCGCGGTCGGGTCTCATACAAGCTCATTGTATAGGATATCCTCATTCACATGTTTCCACACGAACGACCTAGATTGGGTCGTTTGTAACATTTACAAAGTGGGTTGTATCTGTAGTGTTGCCAGGATAAGGTATTCATATACTATAGACTCTTTAGGTTATTCCTGGGACATTATCCACTTGTATATCGAGGGTATATCAAATATATACCCAGTATATATATTGTCCCAGTTACATGATAATAACCTTGAATGTTTAGTTTATTTGATTTGGACAATGCAATGTTGTAAATTCAACAACTTGATTGAATAAGAAAACAAAACTTTATTGAATATAAATTTATTTTTACATAATTACAAACTACGAGTATAGGGCAACACACCCCAACAATTGGTAATTTCACTAAGCAAAATTTATGCAACATTTGGAACCCTCTGTTGGGAACGACTAAAGTAGTGCTCAGCCCTACTTGTGTACTCATTATTGTTCAACAATTAGGTACTGGACCTTGATCATCATCCCATAAGCATTGAGACTCGGAGTCAGAACATTCAGCACCCTAAAGTGTTTTCGATCCTCTTGTCGGAATCAATCCAATTTGACCCGATACCTAATAGGGTTAGAGAAGTTTTTTTTTTTTTTTGAAAAAAAAGGTTAGTGTTGCAGGCTCATACAATTGTGTTAAATCGACTGCAAGTGTACACTATATTGTCAATTGTAGCACAAACAAGGTTGAAATCCACAAGGATTGATTTAGCTACTACTAGGGAAAATGCTTAAGAATACCAGTTGAACTAAACTTAATAATAATAAATAATAATCAAATCAAGAATAGGAAAATTAAACAGCAAAGAAATAACAAGCATGAAACAAGCAAATAATTTCAATCACAGATGCTGGGGCAGAGGAAGCTTTAGCAAAAATGATAGTGCAGGTAATTAGATGACGACGGGGGAGATTACTATTCTCTCTAGCAAATCGAAATAGTTGGTGCTTAAACTGACTTGGTTACCTTCCAAGACACCCAAACATGAATATTCACAACTTCCGTTATTAAATAATCAAGCATTCAAACAGTTTATCAAAAATAATTAGGTGAATTTGATTCTTAAACATTCACAACCTATTAGAAAAGACTAGACTAACCACAAGTAGAGCTAAACATGCATCTCGTATACCTTTCCAAGTCGTATAAGAGCAAACAATCTGAAATGGAATATCTTAAAGAAATACACCTAAAAACCTACAGCTCTCTTTAAAGACCAGTGGTCTTCAAGCTTCCTTCGTCAACTTCCTCTTCAAAAATGGAATATCTCTTTCCGCTGTCTTTTCGACTCCTTTTAGATAGTAATCCTCCTTGTGATCTGTTGTGTCGGTTGGCCCTAATTGAGCTTTTATATCGACCCTCAATTTAGGGCAACAAGCAGAAATGGTAGATACACACAAGTAAATTCCGTGTGAATAAAAGTTATTGTGCTGCCCATATATGTTTGTTGCAAGCAATGCTCCAGCATTTGACACTCTAGCATCTGAAAGACCTAGCAACTTTTTCTCTTCTACTACTCTGCTTCCAATACATCCAGATTCTGCAAACAACCCAAAAACAGTAGAAATAAGCTAAAAATTTTCCAAAATTAATATAGCAAGGAATTTATATATGACTTTTCAATTTCTCACTTAATTCCTCATTTTGGTGTGCTTTTATAGCTAAGACACTCTCATTTGCACTCAATTAAGCCCAATATAATGCCACAATAACTCTCTTTTGGAGTGTTATCAGTTAGAGAAGTTAAAAAAGTGCAGTGAGTTTCTTACAAATGTTATTGCGCACAACACTTAAAAGACGAGGCTAGATTGTACCATAATTAAGTTCGATAGCTCTAGTGGATGACAACCTAGTCTCTAAGGAAGGATAGTCTTACCCAATCCCTAACTTCATGGAGTTGACCACCTTAGATGGAGTTGACGAGCCCTAGTAGAGAAGAATACCCGT